ATATGCTTAATAGGGAATTCTGATATAACAGAACCCAAGACTTGACACGACTTCACTACTTTTTAGAGATGAACGAGCGGCTTCATCGAGGCCTGGCTAGTTTTTTACAGAATGTTTTTGGTTCGATTTCACTTATTTTTGTAGAAACTTGGGCATATTGATTTATTACAAATTTACGCATACTAATCCCTGCAACAGCTGCTGCGGCATTCGCCCAGCAATGACGCTAAACGCTAGATTAAATTTGAAGACCCACTTCGCTGGTTTTTTGCAATTATAGATCGATTTTATGTACTAACAATAGAAAAGGGCACTACCATATCTCTAAAATGTCTTACAGCTAACACCTGCTGATGGTTTTACATCAGATTCTTCAGACCTTCGATTTTTGATATCAAATGAAGCGGCCCACCAAGTTGAAAATTTTTAGTAAAGGCAGGGATATCAATCTTTAAAAATTTGGTTGGGCTTTTGTGGTTTCTAACCAGGGTCACCAGGTACTCCAGATCTTCGATTATCCTAGTATTTATAGATTTCCCTTTATGTGGCCATTAAACCCTAACTCTGGTCATTGGGTATATCTGACCCGCTTAAGGGCTAAGGGCAATATGACTAACTAAAAAATCGATGAAGTAAAATGTACAGGACCATTTGAAAAAGTAAAAAGCAAGCAGTTTCAGTTGATTTTATTTCATCGTGTAGACGATTTATATGATTTTCCTTTTGTATTTGAAAGGTACTCCCGAGAAGGTCCTATTTTCACCAAGTTAGGATCTGATGATGAAATCTTAGAAAAACCGAGGGGAACTTTCGAAAATTGTAAGGGCGAGTAATGCATCTATTATATTTTTCAATAATGGCTAAAGTATAATGTGGCTAGGAGCGAGCTATTAGTTTTCAAAGCGGGCAGTGGGACATATTCTAATATTCCAAATGTCATAAAGTGTGGAGAATCTTTAGCGGGTTCGATTCCCGCACGGAACAACACTTGGTGTGATCCATAAATTGTTGTTCCAGGTCTGGGTGTCATGTGTATGTGGACTAGTATGTTTGTAAACGCACCCACGACACAGGAGAAAATCCTAGTGAAGGGCAACGTTTTCAAAAAAAACCTCTGTGAAGCGTTGACAAATTTGAATTCCTAGGCCACTGGGTCACCGAGGATCTCAAAGACAATTGTGATATTAAGAGGAAACGTAGGTCATTAGCTGTTCGTTGTTACATGCTCGTTGCGCACGTATAAATAACGCTTTTCTAAGCTTACTGTCAGTCTTTCTACATGTGCGGCCTGTGGGTCGGATTCACTCGGCGGGCATATGGCGATCTGCGTGTCCGATACAATAATGCATTGCGGGTACTGTAGGCGCTGCCGTGGCACTGTAGTGCATCAGGTACGTTTGCAGACGCAGCTATTAATAGTTTCGCCGCTATGATTAGAAAGAGATGTGTTTCTCTGATGACACGAGTACGCGGCGGTACCAATAGTATTCTCAGTGTATTCGCAGATCGGTGGGATTCTCCGATGATGCAAAGGTAGATGCAACTCCAGGTCGTACTTTAATTGTGTTTTAGTTTTATATTAATGTTTGTTTCTACTAACACTAGTTTAAGTCATTTGTTACTAACTCTATGGACTTGGTTTGAAATAAAAGTTATATTATTATTATGTCGCGGAGAACCTAACGGGTTACCGGGGCTCCGGCTCGACGTGCAGGAGAAGGAACGGGGCGGTTTTTAGTCAGTAAGAGCATAGTTTCTTTATACTATGGTAAGAGTCTGACACTCCCTCCCGCCTCGCCCAGGCGGGAGCAGTCATTCGATGATTTTCCCCACTTCAAAAAAAAAAAATTATTATTATGCGTTTATTTTGTTAAACCCAACACAATATGGAAGCCAAAGTTAGACGAGTACTACTGCTCATTTATACACGCCACCACACTGTTGAGAGATGCGTCTATATCATAGTTAGCTAGCATAATTATCCGTCTTGGGCCAGACATCAGAAAGCAATTGACACAGCCGATGCCTCTTTAAAAAATCTTTTGCTTGATTTTAATGAAATTGAATAAAACACTGTGTTGCGTAAAACAATAAAACAACAACAACTGTGTCGTGGTAGCCCGGATGTTTAAGACGACCGCTTCACATCATGAGAGTGCGGAATCGAAATCTACCAACGACAAGTACTAATATTATTTTTCCGAGATAATGCATGTGTACTTAGTAAGATTATTAAGACACCACTGAAAAACAGTAAAAGAAAACATCGTAAGGAACATGTTCACAAATAGAGAACCCCGGGACAGGACTTGGCACAGGGAACCATGGCTGTGATAGCTTCCAAACAGAAGTAGTCGTAGAATAGTGTGGAATATAACATATTTTCATTTGTTATTTCATTCATTTTCATCATTCATTCATACGCCTCTGGTATTCCAGGTGTCCATGGGCGACGCCGATTGCTTTCCATCAGGTGATCCGTCTGCTCGTTTACCGGCTTATGCCATAAAAAAAAAAAAAAAAATTCATCTTCCTTCCTTAGAAATTTAATGCTTTATGCTGCTATATCAGTCTATATTAGGTACTTGAATTCAAAGTCAAAGTCAAAGCATTTATTTCAATTAATCCATAGTTTGGTACTTTTGAAACGGCAACAAATACAAAATAAATAATAGTCTGTCAGTCAGTCCGTCAGTGAAATTAGGTGAAGCTAGGTGCTCATTCCAAAACGTAGATTTGAATGGAGAAGAACGAGCAAGGAACTCCATTCGTTACTCTTTTAAAAAAGTATGTTCTACAATGTCTCTGATACATATTTCAATACTGTACGCATATTTAAGAACAATGCAAAGACACGCTTGACGCATTATACTAATAACTTACTAAAATAAAAAAATAAAAATTTTTAAGTCTAACATGGTGCTCACATTATGCATACTGACAATCCATAGAAATAGTGCTTCTATACAAGAAAAAGGAAACTCTTTGTTTCAATAAAGAAAGAAATGCTCGATGCCATAAGGAAACTAGATTGTCTACATTAGAATTAAAGTATTAAATTATGTATTATATTACCTACTATTGGAATTTAACTACTGACTACATTTGAGTATTGTCCAGTGGAGCCGAACCAACATGCCGCCAAGCATTTTTATCTTCAAGATAATCTGTCAGTGTGTAGTAAGCTTGATTACATAATTCGCGCTTAATATATGTTTTAAATTTACTTTCATTGAGATCTAGTATGCTATTTGGTATTTTATTATAGCATTTAATACCTAACCCCATAAAGGATTTCTGTACTTTGGACAGTCTGAATTGCGGTATAGCTAACTTATAAATTAATTAACTAATTTCTCGAAATTCCCATGGCACACATAAATGAAACTTATTAAATCTTAAATATCAGAGCTTTAAATTAATTATTTATTATTATTTATTTAAATGAATACAATCAGCTGTATTTCATATGTGTCCGCCGTGAATATAATTTCTATACTAAGGTGCCCAGCGACCTTTCAGCTCTCCCGAGTTTATGGAAAGTACCACTTCTATTTTGATGGTCATGAGTGAGTGAGGGATTGAACAAGTGAGTGTCATATATACGAAACTTTGCTTTCGCATAACTTTGGAACTACATGACGTAATGACTTGAAATGGATTTTAAGTATGTGATTATAGCTTACTGGATGATGAAAATTTCTGCGTTCTGGTCTTATCCAGAGGGTCTCAAATAGGGGCCTGAAAAGGCGGCGAAATTGTTCCAGTAAAGAATAGTACGGCAGTATTTGTTTCGCACTCGACTTGGCCCCCAGAGTCTTGGCACCATTTGGGTACTTGCTAGATTTGTTTCAATTCCTATAACAATGGATTAGATGCATCTCCCTGAAATTAAACCTGGTGTTTATTACCGAAGTAACGTTGACCTAATGTAGCTACTAATAGGGGTTAAATTGAAACTCCGTAATTAGTGCTTGAACTGCTGGTTTATATTTATTCGTTTTGGTGCGAACTTAGTACATACAAAAAATGACCATCTTAAGCAAATCGATGTAACGAAACCATAGCTTGCTTTTAATTGCGGCAACGCCATCTAGTTATAAAAATTGAACTAAATTAATGAATATGCATTTTATGGTTTCGTTACTTTGGTCTTGAGTTTTGGTCATGAACACCTGGTAGACCCATGGTTCATTCATACTTATTTTATAGAAGGTGGGGGATACTTATTGCTCTTTGTGTGGAAGTTTGATTTCATACTTAAAATTGTGTTGGCTTAAATCTGGAGACGAAATGAAGCGTTAAATAAGTAAATATAAAAATGCATGTATAATTTAATGTATGTTCTACCATAGTTTTATTATATTTGTAACTTTTTTATTTCTTATTTTACTATATCTACTTTAATTTTTGTTGTTTTCCTTTAATTAGCAGATCTCGAGGTTATTATTCTTAAGTGTTAAATAAATAAAGAAAGGATCGAGTCAGTCCCAACACAAGTATTGTATAATAACTTACTGGGACTGCCTCAATGTTAGACAGATAGTGTAATTCTTAAGATAATAAAGAATTTTGAATTTGAATAGATGAGCAAAAATTGATTATACTACTGATTTTCCATGAAAATGGGTAGCACAGTGCAACAAGAGTAAAGAAAGGCAATTGTATTGTATCACAGAAACGTCATTCTAGGATATTTTCTACACTTCATTCGTCGTTGCAAATGTGACGCCATTTTAGTTGCACTGGCAAATAAATATTAAAGTACTTTTTTAGTTTAATCCTTAAAAAATGCGTTTACATTTTTCAGTAAGGTTTGTATTAAGTTGCTACCGTGTGCTGTAAGACTAAGTTTTGTCTACATTTTATCATAATCCTCAATAAATAAAAGAATGTTATGACCTACATGTTTATTTCATAAAACTATAGAAAATTAAACAACTCTACAAATAAAACGAACCTTTTTTATTTAATGTATTTTATTCTAACAGAACACAATCAAAATCAGTTCTATAACGTTTGAACTTACATTCAGGCGTGATTTTATATAATTTATATAATAATTCATATATATAAAGAAGTATGTACACACGGAAGTTAATATGATTACCATAAGAAAAATAATCTTTGATTTTCTATATTATAATTATATATTTCGCAAAATATTCAATTCCGTACTAAATAAGGCTTCAGTCGGAGCATTGAGCATATTTAAATAATATAATTTCACTACCAAACTCTCAAATCACAATTAATAATTAATTACCTTTTAATTAAAATCAGTTTAAAATAGTTTGAAAGTCTGGTCAAAAGCCTCTTTAAGAAAGGACTAGGTAAAAAATTTATAATTTGTTTTACCAAAACTTCAATAAAAAGAGTATTATTCAACATTTTAAATACTAAATATCAGTCATGAATTTAATACACTTGCGGATTAGAAAAATGATTATCGAGCAACGTTTTTCTTGTTAGTTTTTCGCGACCCAACCCCGACTGAGCCCGAATCAAAATATAATTAATTACTTATAAGAATAACAAAAGAAATATAAATTCTACTACATTGACTTGCCCTAGGTACGTCACATGAAAATAATATAGTAATAAAATTTCAGGAACACAAGTTATCAAATATCCTAGCACACGTCAATATATAGACAATGTCTTACTATTAAAAAAAATGGCTAATGTTGCCAGAAAAAAAGAATATCGAACAACCTTCAATGTTACCACAAAAAAAATATAAAATAATTTCCATACAACTGTCAATAGCTATATTTAAAAATTAAAAATTATATGATTATTGGATCTACCATACATTTCACTATAAAACTAAAACTTCAAGTACGTCATCACTTTGGAAGGACTCGTAATATGACGTGACAACTAATACGTCATCTACATTACAATTATTCTGTTAACATTTAATTAAAAATATATTATCAAGTAACATTTTTACTAATTGTTTGTGATTTTAAAACTTACATAAGTGTAATGTAGACGGGCAGTTAGATCAATTTAAGTTTAACGTTAATCAACCTATTTAGGCACAAACTATCCTATGTTTCCCTTTCATTAACATTATCTGTCCGTTCTGCCATCCTTTGTTGTAGTTCAGTTGTCTAATTGGGATCAAGACAATTATATTTACGTACTTTCTTAGTTTTAGTAGGATTTAAGACCTTATTTCTTAAGCTGTAAGTCTTTTTTACAATACCACGTGAGTTTAGTTACTATTATACCTTTCAACTGCTACCCACAAAAAACAGTTTTGAATGAGATCTACTTTTACAATTTGGAACTTTAACCCGTGGGCAGTTGGCAATTGGAAGAACATGTTTTAAAAAAATTGCCACTTGAAATGTCGATATTTTACTTCACACTCATAGTACACAGATGCTTGATGAGCAAAAGTCACCAGTATTAACTTGAATATGCTATGGTACCTTTATTACAGCAATTTTGAGACATACATCCTAACCGTGTGTTTGTATTACTATAAAGTGCAGTGTCTCTTGAATTGCGTCCACACAAACGATCCTCCCCCATCAAGATGTCGCGAATCTACTCCCCAATTGGTTGAACGTCTCCCAATAAACAACCAAACTACTTACAATTACATTCAACAGTTATTCAAAGCCACATTGAGTCCGTTCTTCTCAATATATCTTTTTCTGGCTTCAGCAATCATCTGAGCCTTTCGTTCTTGGAAGCTAAGCTGTCTCTCCTTCGCACTCTTTGGGAAGACGCCTGTGGGAGTGGGGATGACGTAGCGAGGCTGAGCTTGTGACGTGGAGGCCTGGGGCTCCGGTGCCGACTCGGGCTCCGGCGTGTATGGAGTCACACCTTCCAGGAAGTTCGTTATTGTAACGTCTACGCTACGTGTTGACGCTGTTGGACAAGGAAATTGAGTCGATTAGTTACTAATACATTAAAAATGCAAAAAAACTAAAAAGTAAAAATTGGAGACGGGCGTGAAGTATGTATGTGTGTGACATATTTCATAATATCCCGCTGCATCAAGTAGTATTTATTAAGCCTGTCAAAATCGACTGGAGCAGAGAGGTGCAGGGCGATATATGAATAAGGAGGTCTAATCCTCCTGTAAAAATTCTATTATAGTTAAAAGTTCAAGGACATTTAATAAGTTTTAGATTTATCTGTCTATCTGCTACTTAGAAATAAAAAAATCTGATACACCGAATCACCGAAACCAATTAACTTATTTGCATGGAATTTGATACAGATATAATTTAGGATTCGAGAAAAGACATAAGATAGTTTTATCCCTAAAACCCACAGGAATGGAAAATCTGCATTAAAATTCCGGGACTCTCTATATTTCTAAAACCTACTTGGGTAATAAGTAGATATCTACAACTACCTCTACAGTTCGATACTCGGAGAACAATATGAGGCAATTCTTTAAATAATAAGTATAGAACATATAGGATAGTTTTATTTCGAAACTATTACGGAAACGGGAAATCTAGTCTAAAACCCGGGCCTTTGTGTTTTAAAATCTTAACCTATTTGACTGTGATTTCATAATAATTTAAGACCAAAAAAGGTTTTATACCAGAAACCTAATGAGATGACCTTATTTTAAACTAATGAGACAATTTGACTGAAATCTCGTACAATGATAGTTTAAAACCGAAAAGGGACTTAGACAGGTTTTTACCGAGAAACCCAACGGGAACGGGAACAACGTGTTAAAATCCCGGAATACTAATTGTTTCAACTTTCACTACTGAATCTATTTACCTGAAATTCCATACAACGATAGCTTAAAACTCGAGAAATGACTTAGACGGATTTTATCCCGGAAATCCCACGGGAACGGGAACTAGACGTTAAAATCCCGGGATACCATTTATTTCAAACTACTAAACCGACTGAAATTCTGTACAATGGTAGTCTGAGAACTGAAAAAGGACCTAGATAAGTCTTATCCCCAAACTGAAATTCGGTACAATGGTAGCCTGAGACCTGAAAAAGGACCTAGATAAGTTTCATCCCCCAAACTGCCATTTCTTTTAATATATTAAACCAATTTGACTGAAATCTCGGACAATGACAGTTTGAAGCCTAGAAGAGACTTAAGACAGGTTTTAATCCTGAAACTCAAGGGGAACGGAAACTACGCGTTACGATCTCGGGACTATACTGAATCTATTTGCCTGAAATTCCATACAACGATAGGTTAAAACTCGAGAAGTGACTTATATAGGTTTTATCCCGGAAATCCCACGGAAATGGGAACTGGGCGTTAAAATCCCGAGATACCATTTCTATCAAACTACTAGACAGTACTATGTACTAGTAGTTTGAGACCTAAAAAAGGATCTAAATAAGTTTTATCCCAAAAATCCCACGGGACCGGTAACTACGCGTTAAAATCCCGGGAAATCATTTCTTTTAAACTACTAAACCTATTAGATTGAAATTATGGACAATGATAGTTTGAAACTCGAGAAAGGCCAAAGAAAATTTTTTTATTCCAAAAATCTCACAAGAACAGGAGGTCTACTCCGGTTCTCGAATGCGAAGTTTCGTTTGATTTGCGGCGGCAAACAACGTTTTCGGAACCATAGACAACTTTCGTGAACTACAATGAACGAATGAAGTGAAGATAAATAAATGGGCAATAAGTAGGTTTAGATTCGAAATTAAATATAAAATTTTATTTTAAGTAATTACATTACTAAAATCATAATGCCATGGCTTAGCACACATAATCATCAAGAAAATCATGAATAATCTTTTAATATTAACGTTTAAGATGGAAAATCTTAAGCAGGATAAGAACCTCCTTTCAAAAATTTATTATACGACCAAGTTAAAAAGATTTAGAATGTTTTTTTTTTGTCATTTATTGACATTTATGTATAAAATAATGACAACCAAATTTATTCGTATTATATTAGTACAAATGTCTACATGAGAATTTGAAGAGACTAAATTATTTCGTGTTATGATGATTAACAATATATTTTTGAAAAAAAATATATTATCTATAAATGTTGGTATAGTAATAGATGTGAAAGAATAGCGAAAATATATACTAGCAATACTTAAGTTAATTTTTCTAGCGGTATTATTAGTTTTAAAATAAAACATTACTCATTAAACATTTATGTTCAATACATAAGTTATTCAAATAAGTATTTGATTAACCTAAATGTTACTAACTCTCATAGACATATAAAATATATAGGTTCGTGTTAACGAACTATTTGAGCTGACTGTACATTGATTTTATATCGTCATTTAAGTAGTTCTTTTGGTGCCCTACGTGTTGCCCACACAAAGAAACCGTGACAAAACGAAGACTTATAATTACTTTCCTTCATTTTTCAATAAATTTAACCCAAACGAAAATCAAACGATAACTATTTTGGTTTCGTTGAAATGACATTAAACGTCCGAAGAATAATCTGTCAAACTCGAATTTTCGTTCGTGCGGATTGTACAATTAGAGTAGGGTTCCGAAAATATCGATGTCAAACAGTACATCTCATACTAATTTCTGGCTCATTTCATTCCTTTTTCGTTCGTAATAAATGCCATTGTGGTAGGTAATGTTCGAAGTTTCGTCCGAAACTTCGTTTTTCGTCGAATCATAGTAGACCTACAGGAACTGAACGAGTAAAACCGACTAGACTGCGTGTCTGATAAATTGGCAGATTAGAGCGAAATGTATTACAACTTTTTATAATGAAAATGTTATGAAAACGAGACCTGTGTGCTTAAGCTTAGAACTATAATGGGGATGATGACAGGGTATGAAAATTAAAAACGTAATTATTCCGTCAGTTAGGTAATGAAAAAATATTGGACACGTTTTTTTTTATTTTGTTGTATAATAAAATGATACTTAGATATTTATAACGAATCAAAGTTTAGGAGTGGGGCTAAAAAGTCATTTCTACGTATAAAATGTACATAGAAGTGACGTTAGGCGACATTTCAAATCAATATATCTTCGGAACTATTAGTTTTCTTAAGAAAATTAAAAAATACGTGTCTAATGTTTTTAAATAATCTACCAGACGAACATTAAAATAAAAATTAGTCATCTATCCTACTTGTATTTTGAACTACGTAATCTTTTAGAAACTCACAATTAAGGAAACTAAAGTATTAACTGGATGGGAATTTAATATCATACATAGAAATAGGCCTTGGAAAAGGGGACTATATTCCGCGAACGAAGTCGCGGGTAACAGTTAGTTTCCTACTGAGTTTAGCGGGTAAGTAAAGGCCACATAACTATTAAGTAAAGTAAGTTCAACTTACCAAGATCCCGGAGTATGTCATTAATAGGCACGCGAGGCAACACTTCCTTCACCTGCCGCGCCAGTCTGCTTACATCAGGGGGTACCTGGCGACGGACCACTCTGCGGCGCCCGCGACATAACTCCTCCCATTTGAATTCTGTCTTTTCAATCTGTTGGGAAATATTAGGGATATGTAGTTACGTGGAATAGGGTAGTTTCCTAAATTTTATTACAGTATCCTAGTGATAATTATAAGATAGCCACGACAAAATACCTTTAGAGCGTCGGCGATGGCGTCGGCCGCGTTGACGGCGAGCGCGGCGTCGTCGTGCTGCGGCGGCAGCGGCGCCAGCAGGCGCAGCGTGTACACGGTCAGCGGCGACCACAGGAACCACAGCGCGTCGCTCCACGGGAACACGCCCTCGCCCGCGCCGTGCACGCACACGTTCGTGAACATACGCTCCACGCCTACACCATACCAACCGGATTAAAAGTGTATCAAAAGTGTAGCTTTTTTGAACTAAGCCCTCCACATTGTCCCGAAACCACTGCAGCTCCTATAAGCTAGGATCTATAGTAGAGGTATATTCAACCATGAAAACACCGGAACCTTGACGTCTGACAATCCGAGTGAATAACTGTGTTAGATCTCGCGACGATATGAATTTTAACTCATATCCCCGTTGCCGTGGGATTTTTGGGTTTAAAACACCTAAGCGTCCTTTCCCACATGTCAAACTATCGTTGTAATAAATTCCATTTAAATAAATTCAGTGGTTTAAGAGATAAAGAAAGAGTCCTGACACTTTAACATATATCCCCTTTGCCGTGGGATTTTCGGGATAAAAACTACCACACTTCGTTTCCTATGTCTCAAACTATCGTTGTACCAAATTTCACTCATAGATTCAATGGTTTAAAAGGTAGGTAAGATAGTCTCGGCATGCGGCGGCAATATCAGTCAAATAGGTTCAGTGGTTTAAGACAATGGTTGAAAGGGTAGTTAGTACTGCAGCATAGGTTACTTTTTGTGTCTTTCTAACCCTCCACTTCCCTTAAATGGGGGGGTAGAAGTTTTTATGTAGCATTTCGCAATTTTCAAGGTAGAAAGCTTAAAATTCGATGCGAACTATTTGTGACAAATCAAATCTTTTACTACGAACCCCTTAAAAGAGCGCGAGTAAGCCGCGGGCAGAACCTAGTCCATGAATAAAGGTATATTATGTAATTAACTCGTCGAGTACCGGTTTTGTAGACACAATTATAGAACAATAGGTTGCGGTCACCGGTGACCGGTGGTTTTTAGTCAGTAAGAGTCTGACACTCCCTCCCGCCTCACCCAGGCGGGAGCAGTCATTCGATGATGTTCCCCCCTTAAAAAAAAAAAGAGTCTACTTACTGATAGCGACAGGTTGCACCTTGTTGCCGACTGGGAAAGGCCACTCGGAGAACTTGAGCAGTCCCTTGCCATTGGTCGGGCCTCCTTCTGGCTGCAGCAGCACCGGCTTACTGGGACTCTCGGCGAAGTGTTGTCTGTAATTAAACAATATTATTTTATGAAAAAGGATGTGAGGATTGTTCTACGTTCTAGGCAGTACTGTGTAGTCTGTGATCTCTACCTAGCTGCAGGGTCAAAGGTATAAGTTTATGAACAACGCAGATAATCGTATGTAACTCAAGTTTCTTGAGAAGGATTCTCTCTTTATTTTTATATTACACCAAATTTTTTAAAAACCGGTTCAGGTATTCGGTGTAGAATTTTTAATGCTCTTAGATTTGTGTAAAAAAATGTCGAATGATTCACAAACGTAATAAGAAACCTATCAAAAAATACTGACGTAAACGTGACGCACAAATATAATCATAACAAAAGATACGTAAATAAATAAGTACACGCATTTATCAATACAGTTCAATGAACTTATGACAAAACGAGTTTGGATTACATTTTGAAAACATGAGCAGGCAAATAAATGCAAATTACGATCTCATCTCCAATACAAATTGAGCAAAAGGATTTTTTACATAAAATACAAATGGCCAGATGTCAACTTAAACCAATCTTTTCATTGGATTTTAAATTCTACATAACATAACATAACATAACATCACGCCTTTTATCCCCGAAGGGGTAGGCAGAGGTGCACATTGGCACTGTACAATGTAACACCGACTATTCACTATTTATGTTATGAGTCTCATGTACTAGGGGGTGAGCCCATTGCCATATACCGGGCACAAATCCAGACTCCGTGCTACTACTGAGAATTTTTTAAAAACCCAGTAATACTTTGTCCGACCCGGGAATCGAACCCGAGACTCCTTGGCCGGCAGTCGCACTTGCGACCACTTTGCCAACGAGGCAGTCGAGGCAGTCGAGGTAGGGCAACGAGCATATTAAATTTTATTTTTATAAAATAATAAGGTTGGAAATCGAACAAAATATTTTTACCTTCTGATGTACATATTAAATTATGAAGTAATTCAATACAATGTGGACTTCATGAGTCATTCGCAACAAACAAACTACGAATAAAAATCTGGATCAATCTGCAGTTTATATTTTAATAAACAAGACAATATTTAATCTATTTTGATGACAGGATTTATTATCTCGTGGTAGTGTTTTGTGATTTTCTGTCTCGCCCTTCCAAATCCCAAGAGGACTGGGCTCGCTGCCATTGCAGCGGTAAGTCCCCTCTTTGAGGAGTGGCTTGAGAGACGCTACGGCGTCCTCACCTACCGCCTGACGCAGGTCTTCACCGGACATGGAAGTTTCGGGAGGTACCTGTGTCTGATGGGGCGGGAGGAAACGACCGGGTGTCATCACTGCGAGGGCCGCCCTAAGGACACTGTGGAACACACAGTGGGAGAATGCCCTGCGTGGGCTGAGCACCGCCGTGCCCTCAGGGAAGTGATCGGCGATGGCGACCTCTCGCGTCCGGGCCTAGTGCAGGCCATGATGCGGAGCGAGGGGGATTGGGATGCCGTCTCCTCCTTTTGCGAAGCAGTCATGCTAGCTAAGGAGGAGGCGGGACGCGTGAGGTAGCGAAGCGCTGCCTCCTCGCAACCCAGCCATCGCGAAGGACACACCGGGCGTCGGGGATCGCGGGACGATCTCCGGCCACCGTAAGCGCGGGCCTGCGGACGGCGAGCATGGGTGGCTCCCCGTCCGACCAGAAACAGACCCGAGCGTACGGCGCGTCGCGTTCCACGCGCGCCTCAAAGAGCCATCAGACCACCACAGATGGGGCCCAATAGGGCCGATGCCGATTCGAAATCGCGGAGAACCTAACGGGTAACCGGGGCTCCGGCTCGACGTGCAGGAGAAGGAACGGGGTGCTAAAGTTTTTAGTCAGTAAGAGTCTGACACTCCCTCCCGCCTCACCCAGGCGGGTGCAGTCATTCGATGATTTTCCCGCATTAAAAAAAAAAAAAAATCCCAAGAGGACACCGGTGTCCTCTCGCACCCATTCCATTATAGACCTTATATCCGATGTTAGGAGACTACTTTTGCATGAACAAATTTTGTTATTAAAAATGAACAAGCAAAGATAACAATAATAATATTTAAAATGCAAGTATCGTACACGGAGTATCAGAATCGGATGTTTTGATATCTTAGCTGCAGATAACAATGGTACTATCTTTAATATTATGGTTATCACACAATCATAAGAATGATGTCAAAAGTAGAAAGCATAATAAATGGTAGAATCTGTCATTAGCTCAAATCATCAATAGTCCAATACTATGAGGCTCTTGTACATAAGATTTGCCATAATCACCATATTTGGGAGATAGGTTAGAGATAACGGTTTAACCCTTTAATCCCCAAGCGGCACCGGTGACCGCTCTCCACTAACTACATTATAGACCTTATTTCCGATGTTTGGAGTACTTTTGTTTGAACAAATGTATTTATTATTATAAATAATAAGAGATATATTTATTAGTAGGCAATAATATAATCTATGAAAATAACTTACTTCCTCACAAATTGTGCTGCATTCTTTATGCCCAGAGTAGAGGCAAAAAATGGCGGCACCTTCCATTTTCTGAGCTGTAAACAAAAAGACATAACGTAAGTACATACATTATAAAATCACTACATTTAGTGAAAGCAAGATGCTGTTGTTGTTGGAAATATTCCAAAAAGGATTTGAAATTACTTCCCTCATATATACTGGATTTTGTATGATTAAGAAGTTTGTTCAGACTATCATTGTCATCTATACTAATATTATAAAGCTAAAGAGTTTGCTTTTTGTTTGTTTGTTTGAACGCGCTAATCTCCGAAACTACTGATTCGAATTGAATAATTCTTTTTGTGCTGGATAGTCCATTTATCGAGGAAGGCTATAGGCTATAAAACATCTCACTACGATCAATAGGAGCCGAGCAGAGCGAGTGAAACCGCGCGCAAGTTGCCAGTAAGTAATACATTAAATAAATATAGCAGATAGACTCAATAACAGGAATAAAAGAAAAGAAAATTATTAGCAATTTTTTATAATAATTTAATTATATAAATAATATCTATTGATTATTTTTTATCAACTCTTTATGATTCTGCCCATCAACTCTTTCATTCAACTATATTTTACCGTTAACAGTTCACGCCACAAAGGTCAATGACAACTCGAAATACCTTTTATATAAAAAAAAAATCAAAATCAAATATAAACACAAGCGTGTAAAGCATATATATGATAATTATATACAGATATAAAAATATCAGCATAATTATAGCTGTAAGGACATCTTCACTAATAAAAACAAACATATGGAAATAGTAGTTCGTTGACTTTTAATATCATCTAGTCATTTTAGTGAGAGAAATCGTTAATATTGAATTATAACGAAGAAAGTTTTTATTAATTTCTTGTTTAATTGTATTGAATAGACTCTAAGACTAAAAGACACATAACATCACGCCTATTATCCCCGTAGGGGTAGGCAGAGGTGCACATTATGCCACTGTACAATGTAACAACACCTGCTTTTCACTATTTATATTATGTGTCCGATGTAATAGCAAATTGCCATATATCGGGCACAATTCCAGACTCCGTGCTACTACTGAGAATTTTTAAAAACCCGGTACTAACTAAAAGACTGAGTTATTATTTATTAGGTAGTAGGTAGGTAAAGTCGAAATATCTAACTTCCATGCAAGTGTACAGCGAGGCTGCAGGCAGAAAGGCAGTTATAAACCCTAGCCCATAACGTCATGAGTAGGAATGGCGTGTTTTTTAATGCGTGAGACTAGACTCCGTCTCGCCACGCCCAAAACGGGAGGAGTCATTCGATAATTTTCTTTCCTCGCAAAGTTGATATATACAAATATATGACAGAAACCATACTTAGAATATAATATACTTAGAATATTTAATGTATGAGGATAAAATGTGAATAAAATACTGACATTTTATTCAAGTCGTGTTCGGGTAAGGTTGATTTGGGCACTTTTTCGTGTCCTTTAAGTTTTTTGTATGCACTTTTTATTGAGGTAATATTCTGAAGTAACAAACATTGTGTAAAATGTTTTTAAGTGTTAAACTAAAACTGGTTTCGATCAAATACCAATGAGGCCAGTTGTTAACTTGAATATAATTGAGTGTCCTATTAAATTGAATTGCTGAATGATTGATACATTAAATTATTCAGGTTTTGAATTAATGTTTGAATTTTATTGTCTGCCGTGTCAATTGAATAGCTGATAACGTAATTACTGAGGGAGGGGACTCCGCTCTTAGATTCCGGCGTCATAGTAATAACTACTAAACTCTCGATTTTAAAATTATTAGGAAAAGATAGAGTTTAGAAATTATGCTACACAAAACTGCGATGCGAATTCGCGCAAAAAATTACGATGCCAATTGGGCTCCCAAGGTTCCTTCGACGACCTAAACGTATTTTAAATTGAAAACATGTGACATGGATCGTAAAAAGAAGTGTGCACTTTTGTTATTACTTAGGAGATAAAAAAAAGAAACAAAGAAGATTTTGGGAAGATAAGATTTTGATGCGCTATGCGAATCAATTCGTAAGTTCTTGCGATGTGTAGAGGAACCTCGCACATTTTTGCGATGCCACGTCGCATCGCAGTTATGTGTAGGAGCCCTAATTAAAAGATACAGAACTTATTAGCAGACGCAAAAATAGGCATAGGTAAGGAAAATTAGATTATCTTAAGCCTAATATAAACATGATTTTACACTTTACTGCAACAGCTACCTATCTTATACTCTTATACTATTATATAAAGCGGAAGAGTATGTTTTTTTGTTTGTTTGTTTGTTTGAACGCGCTAATCTCCGTAACTACAAGTATGATTTGATTAAATCTTTTTGTGTTGGATAGCGCATTTATCGAGGATGGCTATAGGCTATAAAACATAACGCTACCAATAGGAGCTGAGCAGAGCGTGTGAAACCGCGCAGAAGTAGCTAGTGTTAGGATAAAAATATATTTTGTAAACTTACGCTGATTGTACCAAGCACATGGGAGGCAGCTAGGGAATCTAGACAAGACACGTAGTTGGCCACCAGAACACTACAGCGCGGGTCACGGGTACCCTTTAGTTTCACATAAACACCTGCAACACAAAGAAAACTAAGTTATAACATAGAAACTATACTTTCGGGGGGTGATAATACAACTAATTTCTTACAAATTTAACCCTGAGGCCCTTAGTCCGAAAGTAGCTAGTTTGTGAGATATTAAAATGTTTTGGTTTTGGTCAAAAAGTCCCGAACTAATTGTAGTTAGTCACTCAGAATAAGTATACCATTCAAGTACCTATTTTAACAATAAATAAGTAGATTATAAAAGACTTCAACCAGACAAACTTCTGGGTTTTTAGTCTCATTTTAAATGTTATTTACAAAAAAAATGTTAACACAACATCATGTTTTGATTTTCAATATCACATGAAGTTTATTGAGGTTGATGCTCCTGAATTATTTTTATTAATTATCAGATTTGCAAAGTATAGAATTTTCGTTTCAACTTCTGTTTCAAATATAGCTGTAATTCTAAGGTTTTTAGTGTAAGTGTAACGATAAGATACCTCCAAAATGAGTGAACTTTCTAGATTAAAAGAAAATAGACAAAACATAAAAATAAAAACAGTTTCATACCAAATGTCCAGCATGCAAGTGTAGACAGCATTTGTCTGACTGCTGATTTGTTCGGCAATATTATTGACGCGACCCATAGTACCAGCGCCAAGAACACTCTGAATGTCAATAGTAATATACCAAACGGTAGATACAGGAGGAAATGTAGGACACTGTCACCGCTAAATCTAAAAACAAAAAGAAAAAAATTGTCAGAAAAACATCCTAACTATGAAAAGAATACTGTACCTACTAATGAGTCCTGTCTTTGGCATTATACCTCTAGTCTAGGATGGGCCTAATAACATAACCTTTACCTTTCTCATACTATTTTATTACGGTACAATTTTACATTTAACACAACTAAATTAACAGTCATCAAGAATTTAATTTTTTAAATAAGGGCCTATTGCCATACCATACAAATATGCATGACGAATCAGGCTTTATAGATACATGTATTATTTTGACTAAACCTCGAAACAGTTTGCAACTGATATGGTAATTTTGGCAGGGTTTCTTCATCATCATCTTAATAACATAATAATATGTGATCCACAGAAGTTTGGTAGAGTTTATTGTAAAATATTTATCATGGAAGTACATAAATAACACATGGTTTTCATTACTTCTTAAGTAAACATAAGAACAAATTAGGAGAAAAATTGTATTTTTCTAGAAATTTCCCTAACATTAATAAGGTATATTATGTAATGATAAACAAAGACTAAAAATTAATTAGAGATAACAATGAACAAAATAGGTAATCTTACTTATATCTATTGTACACAAGTCATTGTCAATAACTAAATAAAAAAAAATTATGTTTGAATCTAAATGATTCTATTTGTTATGATAATTACAAAGTTTAGTCAAATATGCTTTAAATATTGTGGTGTTTTTGATTTAGTAGCATTGTGAATGGTTTTAAGGCTATTATTTAAATATAAATTAAACAATATATAGGAAACAAAAAATGAATTGTAATTGAAATGTTGGCCAAGTAAGTACGACATTATAATTCAATCCTTGGTAAAAATTATTAGGGTATGACACTCAGGTCATGGTCAAAGTAATAAAATGGTATTTTTTCAAGAAAGTAATTTCGATCCTGTCTATAATGTAGTTTATTGGTTACAAATGAGGCGTTACAACACAATGCGGACACTAACACAGCGTGATGCTTGGATAAGAATGAATGTGTAAACATTACAAAAGTTTACATTAACATTTGACTTGCAATTTCCTCTAATTTACTACTATAGTATTCACACAACACATTAGCTTCATTATTCAGTTACGTCACGACATTTTCCTCACATGTTAACTACGGACACTGCAAAATTTCATTGTATTTTACATGTAATACTTTTCAGATTACACTGCAAACTTTCCCTTGAAAAAATAGCAAACACGTAGGTATGCGATAATAAAATGCACTTTTTACCTTTCGTCGTTCATTAATTTGTCCACTGTTAAAGCCATAGCTGTTTGTGTAGCAAAACAAACTTCTATAATGCTTCCTGTGCTATTTTTGACTGCATAAAATTAAAAATTTCGAACTTTTCTCCAATATCGTGAATTCGTGATGTGTATCTACGACATTGACCATAGACTACGGACTGCATCAGAAAATTTTGACAACTCGATATAGCCACATCTGTCAACACAACCATAGAGAACCGCCATTGTAAACTCTCCTTAACATTTTAGGAAATAAAATCATTTTAAAAATAGAAATCGGGCATAAAACTCCGGAAAGTCCACTCACTGGAATAAAAAACCAAACTGAGGCTTTTAGGTCATTTAACTTGAAAAATCAATCGGTCATTAATTGATACAAATTAAAATTAAGCTTTTGTGTGGGGAGCCAGTGGATGCAAGTGGCAAGTTGTCGTTCGACGTGGATGACCAAGGGGGATGTATTTGTCCAGCAGTGGACGTCTTTCGGGGTTGATTGATCATCATCAGATGATGAAGCTTTTGCGCTTATTGGAAGAAGTATTTTTGTTTTATGTAGTTTTAGACTGTTTTTGTTATTATTACCTCTCCTTCATTCTAAAGAACTTGCTAAGGCCAAACGATATAATATTGAATGCATGAGTATCAATGTGCTACAATATTGGGTTCTTCAAAAAAGGAGTAAATAGGTTTATAAAGGTTCGGCAAGCAAGACGCATGTAATTCCCCATGTGTTGCAAGCGTTCATAGGCCACGGTAACCACCTACCATCAGGTGGCCCGTCTGCTTTTCCTGCCACCGTCGTAGTATAAAAAAAATCTATTAGTACCTCATAAGTAGGCGTGCTCCATCGTCGGCCACATCATCGCTTACCATCAGTCAAGATGGTGACCAAACGTCGACATTTATTAATAAAACTGAACAAAAATAAAATTATGACATTACTATAAATCTGTCAAGTGTCAACGTCAATCTAGTCAATATTTTACTATCGTGCTCGAATCTGTGATGGTGTCATGTTGTGTACTTGTGTCACTGACAAATAAAATAAATGGGTATCCGACAAAATACCTTGGAACAAAAGAATCAAAAATAATTGAATTCTTTCTATATTTAGCGACATAAGGGTTATCGTCGAATAATTTTCGTAATAAGTGTTCAATAGATATCATAACAAACGCAAAGGTAGTGTTATTTTAACGTGAAAATAAATGTTTGTATATCACCTGACCTTTGTTTATTATCAACGAAAATTATTATAGAAGCTATAACGATGGATAATATCACGTCCACGGAGGAGACGACGTGCTCGGAAGGCGAAGAAGAGCCTAAAATTGCGGGAACCAGTGAAATGAACCTTGTAAACCATAACCAAGGTAATTCCCCACAGCGACCGACGTCCTTCAGTGAGCTCAATCAAATGGAAGAAAAAATGCGACGTAAGCTACAGTTTTTCTTCATGAACCCGATCGAGAAATGGAAGGCCAAGAGGAAGTTTCCATACAAGTTTGTAGTCCAGGTGATAAAGATTGTACTAGTTACATTTCAACTTTGTTTATTTGCACACAACAGATATAATCACGTCAACTATACGTGGGACAACAGGATCACGTTTTCCCATCTATTTCTCCTTGGCTGGGACTCCACAAGAGAAATTAATGCCTACCCTCCTGGTGCTGGACCTCTCGCAGTTTACAAGATTGAAGAATTCTATAATACCTTGGACTATGCATATGAAGGGTACTCTAATGTTTTAACCAATGCTATAGGTCCATACTCCTATAATGATGAAAGTAACATCAAACCTCCCCCAGTATTTTGTCAGTACAACTACAAACAAGGTATAATCAATGGCTTTAATGAGAGTTATGAATTCAACTCGGAAATAGTAGAAAATTGTGTCAACTTTACAAAAACGAACGATGAAGTGTTTCATTCCCAGCCATTCATTGAAAAAGCAGGCTTAAACATAAGTTTTGCATCATTGGTCCGAGCTAAATTAATGTTTTCACTGAAAACTATTAACTTTAGAGCCGCAGGACCAATCACTCCTCCAGATTGTTACCGATTTGATATAGAAATCATTTTCGATAATGAAGATCACGATGGACAAATGTCTCTAATTTTGGAGGCAGAACCATACAAATTGACTTGCAAAGGAGACACTGCATACATTACAGATAACAAAATAGATCAAGTCCTGAGAAGTATACTCAATATTCTAGTTATCTTGATATGTGCGATATCTTTTATTTTGTGCAGTAGAGCCATTTATAGAGCTCAATTATTGAAGGAGTTAACAGTACAGTTCTTTAGGAGAGCTTACAACAGGGATTTGAGTATGGAAGGCAGACTGGAGTTCCTCAATATCTGGTACATCATGATTATAGTCAATGACATTCTAATCATTATGGGATCAGCAATAAAGGAACAGATTGAACGGAACCAGTTTACAAATGACCAGTGGAATGTCTGTTCCCTCTTCCTCGGAACTGGAAACCTCCTTGTATGGTTTGGAGTATTAAGATATCTTGGATTCTTTAAGACTTACAATGTAGTGATACTTACATTGAAGAAAGCAGCTCCGAAGATCTTCAGATTCTCAGTCTGTGCATTGCTGTTATATGCTGGCTTCATGTTCTGTGGTTGGCTAATCTTAGGTCCATACCACATGAAGTTCAGATCTCTAGCGACGACCTCAGAATGTCTTTTCTCTTTGATAAACGGAGATGACATGTTTGCGACATTCTCGATAATGTCAAAGAAGTCACCAATGCTTTGGTGGTTTAGCCGTGTGTACTTATATTCTTTTATAAGTTTGTATATTTATGTAGTGCTCAGTTTGTTTATTTCTGTTATTATGGATGCTTATGATACTATTAAGCAGTATTATAAGGACGGGTTCCCTAAGAGTGACTTGCAACAGTTTATTGGGGAAGCTAACTTGGAGGAGGTTTCTTCGGGTCTTTACAGGACCCAAAGTTCGACGTCCCTGAATGCAATAATGAATTCTCTCTTCTGTTGCAATTTCTACAGAAGTGCATACTCAAAGATAGGCGGAGGAAGTTCAAATTTGAACTTATAGACTCATTCTTATTGTAATGGTGTAAACACACCATGCTGTAAATATTTAATCAGTTCATTTTATTATCTTAAGAGTGTATTAGATAAATTTTATTTATCTATGTATTTTAATTTATGATAGGCAGCTATGTTACAGCAGCATGGTCCCTATTGCTATTGGTTTAGAGTTTGGTATTGTCTGTTTAATTTTTATAGTGAAATTGTGGGTGTAACAAGGTATGATTGTGTGTCCCATTTTTATAAGGACAAGGTAACTGGCAGCACCCTAATTATATATCACATTTGTTGTTTACAGTTTTATTGACAAACTTTTCATATAGTTCAGCTAGTCACAAAATTTTAGCACAATAGTTTAAAGTCAGCTTTATCAACGAACAATTTAATGTGGATATTGCAAATGTGTCATTCAATTATTTTATCCTAAACTGTGTTTAATTCGTCATGTTTTAACCACATTTCGATTATTTAAATCCACAGTGAATACATAGATATAAGTAGATAATTGTAATATTATCCTCAATAAATTGAATAACAATGTAAAATATTTTTGTCTCATATTACACTTACACTTTATATTTTGGAAATGTGATTGAAATAGGGTGAAAATCTAAGATATTACATTATGAATGAGAATAGTTCATTCAGAAAATATTCAATATTTTTAATGAAATTACAATTAAATCTTCACTAACATATTAATGTAATATATTTTGTACATAATGAAATGGGCACCACATGAGCATAATAGATGTCTTATTACGTAGGTACCTATGTACCTTAATATTAAATATTATATTTTTGTATGTTAAAGCAATCATGTTTGTTTATGCCCCATGTTACCTACTCACCAAAGATAAATCACCAAACGTAAAATCGAAAACAAATTTGAGATTAGTGCATAAGTTTGTCATTGTCACTATTGCCTCAATTAATTTATAAATTTTGTTCAAAATGGGCAATAAATTAACTTTAGTAGCTAATTGCAAGTCAATCACACGATAAGTGTTACTTTTTAATGTATATTTTAGTACACCTTGTATAAAATATAACGAATACATTATTTTTGTAACTAAACGTTGTTTTGATCATATTTCACCGCAATCGGGACGGGAATGGCAATGCAGCGATTTATTTGCAGTAGGTATTTTGTTACGAGGACACATGGGCTCAGATAACTGAAACCATATCGCACAGAGTAACTTAAGTTGGTCAGTATACATTGCTCATTGGTTAGGCAATCGTAGGTCGTATTGAGAAGAAAACCAGCAATGGAATTCAGTCATGATATTGTGTAGCGTATACCTATTGTAGTTTTGTTTTGCTATGAAGAAACGCGATTACTCATCAACATCAATATTTTATTATATTGTTTGCCTTTTGCGAGATAATTACATTTGCATGAGTCTACCATTGTTTGTGACTCTAAAGCGAATAGTTTATACTTTGTACATTAACATTACCTACGTTTTTATCTTAACCACAGAAAATTAATAAATAGAACTTACCGCTTAATTACAGCCAAGTGATTAAAATAAAATCCATTGTGCTTCTTGGATTTAAAAAGACACTTTGCTTATCATAATAACTATAGTTGATCGAGGGGTATACTGCCTCATGGATCGAGGGAGTCTCAGGTTTGATTCCCCAGATTTGACCCAGATTATGGGTTTAAGTACCTACCTAAGTAGGTAGGTATTTGGATTTTCGGAAGTAAGTACTCGTAGCTCAATAAAATTGAAGTCTGGAATTGTTCCTGGTGTACCTACTTATAGATAAGATTGTAGATACCCTATGATACCTACCTCTATACTAAATACATATAATATGGAGGTACCTATGTGATATGCATAATATACCTTTTTTTTGAGGGAAAAAAATCATCCAATGTCTTCTCCCTCCTTGGGTTACGCGAGAGGGAGTGTCAGACTCATACTGACTAAAAATCATACCGTTCCTACTCCTGCTCTTTGAGCCAGAGCAACCCGTTATACCTTCTACGGCTCCGTATCGGGTGTAAGTATGTATATACCTAGGTATAGGTTTCTAGCAATAGAATCAACCTACAGATATATTAATAATATTTCTGTAGATCACCCTCTATTATACAGGACTTGATGGAACGCACAATACATAATAATTAACGTAGGTACGTAACTGGTAAAAATGAAGAGGGCGTTTTGACTTATTTGAAGTACCTACCATCTTCCTGCGATGTAGGAAAATGGGAATTTTCGTGGCATCTTTCATATCGTTTGTAATCGGGGGAAGATAGGAACCAGTGTTCAATAATTTGTCCCCGAAATCTTTTTTATGCCAGAGTCGAAAAATCTTGTTTTTCTTTTTTTTTTTTTTTTGCGTTAAAAAAACGTTGCCCCACACTAGGATTATCTCCTGTGTCGTGGGTGCGTTTACAAACATACAAGTTCACATACACACGACACCCAGACCCGAAACAACAATTTGTGGATCACACAAAGTGTTGTTTCGTGCGGGAATCGAACCCGCGACACGTTTACCAGTTTACTTATATATTTCACTCCAACTATGCCTACTTGGGTTGGAATGAAATAACATGTATTTGGTGGAAGATGGGAAAAACCATTTTAATTATCTTTACCTAACCCTAGGAGCAATAAAACGCGTGATATTATCATTGTATGCAATAGGCATGAAAGTTTAATAAATTAAAAATTATAAAAAACAATGTCGCAATACCTATCTGACTCAGTTACAATAATAACAATTTTTTGATTACACACTTGTCACCTACAATTTTTCTTTAAACATGATAAATAAAGTTTCAGGTTTATGAAACTAGATAGTACAGTGGCCAGCACATCCAACTACTCCAAAGTGTCAATTTTTATTATTGGATTTTCGCCTTTACAACTAATTGATAGAGTTCAAAATGTAAAGAAAAGACCTTGTTGCCCACAAAAAAAAAATGATGGAGCTTTTTCAATACAGTACAAAACTTATTCACGTAGGCATAGCTAGTTACAAATACAACCCGTCAACTGTATAAATCAACCAAGGGGTCACCTAAATATAGTGCATCTATATTTTTTTTTTAAATATATTGTGGCCATGACACCATACAATTTGTCTTGGATTGTACGGACGTACCTAAGGGTGCGTCCACATCTACGCTTTACACACCACATCTGCGCATCAGCTCACGAGCGTCTCGCGAGCTGCGCACTCGCCAGATGTGGACGCACCCTAACATTATTCTTATCAGTTGATAGGTACATAGGTAGGAGTAGGTACTTGTGTGAAAGAGATCTAATACCTACTTGTACACGAACCCCCAACCAATGAAACGGACTGAAAAAAAAAATTGTTCAAAGGCACACAGTCTCGGCACAGCGTTTTAAATTATCTACTTTGAAAAAGCCAACGGCCGGCGGAGCGTTGTCAGTCTTTTTTGTAGGTATATAATACGACATAAGATTTTATGCTCAAAAATCTTAATAACTGGGATAGATTGAAACCGTGCCGTTACTGTGTGAGACCTTAAGACGTGACGCTCTCTGCTTAGCGTTTCTCACGTAGCGTTACAGACCATGCTGGTCCTTTCCGAGTCTGCGTGTGTCCAATTGGAAGGCGTAAAAGATGCTGAATGTCAGCTATGCTCAAGTCTTTAGTTTCAGGGACAACGAAATATACAAAAAAGAATGCAGTAAACGTAAAACTGGCGTATATCCAAAACATTTTATATATAGCTACAATGCGAAGCAGCCTGTGTACTGTGCTATTTGAAACGAATACAAGGAACCAACTTATGGTTGCAGCCGTAGCGGTCACAAAGGCTTTGATATCCATCCGACAGAGCTCACTGGCCATTAACCATGGGATTGAACCAAAACCTAAAGCATATGCATAAACAAACACGAAAATACAAACAATAGGAACACTTGTGATATACTTAAAAACTGTATTTTGTATGTCTAAGATTTCCTGCAGCCAAAATACTGTCCCTATAGTAGTGCCACAAATACACATCAACATTGCAGACAGAAGCAAAAGAAAACGTCTGCCAACTCTATCAATGAGCAGAGTTGCGAAAACTGTCGCCACCAAATGATTACTGACAAGAATAAGCGTCGTAATTGTCCAAGGCAGTGGAACGCCTGCTAATGCAAAGACCCGCGGCGCACTCATAACCACGATGCCGAAACCTGCCAGCTGCTGGAACAGCATCAAAGTAAAGCATATGAGCATAGTCCTACGAGCTGGCCTGTGCTTTAAACGGCTGAAGTAACTTGGATGTTTCGCCTTTTTTTTCCTCAAAGTATATTCTTTTTCTATAATTTCGTGCAGTTCCCTATCAACATCATGCTTCGAACCCCGAAGTTTAACTAAAGCTGCTCTTGCATCTGCATATCTCCCCTTCATTACCAGGTACTTGGGGCTTTCTGGCATAAAGATAAAAATGCTACAAAAAATTAACGGTATACAGGCGCACAAACAGTTAAAAAGGAAGATATTGACATGTCCGCGTACAGCGACCGATAAAAGAATTCCAATACTTAGCATCAATTGAAAGAGACTTCCCATTGACCCTCTCATTTTCTTCTGAGAAACTTCATTGGCATAGACAGGACCTGTCACGCTTAAGCCTCCTCCGCCTAGCCCCGTGATAAACCTGCCAATAAGCAGTACTTTTACACTACCCGCGTAAGTAATAAAACCCCAACCTACTACGAATGGCACGGTGAGACTCAACAATGTCTTTTTACGGCCTACAGCATCCATAATGAAACCGATCGGGTAGCATGCGCAGGCGGCTCCGAGAGCTATCACTGAAGCCATCCAGTACCCCTCTGCCCTCGTAATTGGGAAACTGTAACCCCCATAATGAGCATCTAGTTTCACCATTATTGGAGCCGACCAACCCAAATTTGACCCTGCCGACAGCGCGCCAAGTTCACCTGTAACGAAATTAAAGCTGAAAAATACTTAGAGGAGAGGTTTATAATAATTATGATAGCTAGGTACCTAATCTTCAGCCTTTGCTTCAAAACTGGCATCTTTCTGACTTTCTAGTCATTAATTAATTTCATATGACATAATGCGACATGTGCAGATTCTACTGCAGATGGATCACCTGATGGTAAGTAGTCTGCGCTGGCGACGTCCATAATAACTTTTTATGGGATTAGATAAGAATATCGGGCCAGGCCTTAAGGACCCTCGCTCACGACGACGTTCACTAAAAGCGCGACAGCATCACTGATTCGCTACTAACGCCTGTTACTTTTATATGCACTTGGTGACTGTATCGATGCAGACGTGGGACAGCATCGCTACCGAAAGTCGCCGTGGGCGAGGGCCCTAATATTATTTATTAGTCTCTCCGTAATACAAGATTACAGGAACACTTACCTGCTAGTCCAGCAGCATATTGTCTCACTGCTCCATCGTAAAAATAAACTTTTTTTATAGCAGCCGCTTTCTCATCTAAAACTTTCGGAGTTCCTTGTTGGTCTTGTTTGTCATAGTCATAGCTCCCTATATCGTCATGTGGCTAAAATAACAGAATTAGATATACAATGTAAACTTTCAGTTTGTTACCTACAAGGTGAAATGTAAGCAGGTAGGCTATGACGGACCGCAATCGAGTTCACTGCACTAGGTACCTACTGTAGGCCTTTTCTTATGACGTGGGGAACCTTGGAGAGTAACGTTTTGGGGATAAAACTAGGGAGTTTGGGATTTTTACTTCACTAAAACCACCCCGGTAGCCATAATCAGCGCTTGTAAGGGCACTGAGTCCTCTAATAGACTTCGGAGTGCAGGTACTCTAGCCTACCGACTGAAATTGTAGCCCTTATGAGGGAAATGAGACTAACATGAAATATCTTCTTCGTATGAAAAAGGCTCTATTTCATAAGGACAACATGATCCGTAAATCCGTGAAACATGTCTGTCTAACACATTTTTTTATTTAATGCCCAAGCAAATACACAAATTAGTTGCTGTAATTTAAGAAAACCGTTGCCGCACACTAGGATTCTTTCCTATGTCGTGGTAGGTACGTTAACAAATGTACAAGTTTACATACACATGACACCCAGACCCTGAACAACAATCTGTGGATCACATAGAGTGGTTTCGTACGGAAAGCGGTCCAGTGACACGTAGCGCAGCAGTTTTTTAAGTCACAATTGGAATTAGATATTTAGATAAAAGTATGCGTATGGCAAGTACCTATAGTCTATCTGGAAGTCATTGGGGGAGGCCTATGTTCAGCAGTAAACGTTCTGTGGCTGATATGACGATGATGATGCCTGTAGATATTGTCTACATACCTCCTGTCCTTGCGTCCATGTATTTTCTTGTTTTTTTAATAATACACTAATATTACACAGGGCTCCAATACGCGGCATTGTATTTTATTAAACACATTCTAGTATAAAGGACAGATATACCCAAAAAATGTAACCTTTATAAATTTTTCATTGCTCTATGTAATTGTGCCTGCTATTTGGCTGTATTATAAACAAAGATTATGAATATTAGTAGTCATATGTCAAGATCTTGTCAAAATGTTAGCGCATTCATTTCTTTTTCTGCTTTCAAAGAAGGGAATAGGTACCTACCTATATGTCGGAACGGTCATTAGTACGAGACTTCGATTTACTACAAAACGAAGGAATAACAACAAAATGAATAAAGATGGCGCGCTTCAAGAGTTAATTGTGACGTCATGTCCGCCTAAGAGTGGGGGAGATTGAGTGACTTTCAACATCCCAGAACAGCAGGCACTCTTGGCTGGGACTCCGAACGAACAACGACGCACTGGGAATGCTGTCGGCCGAATAATGATTGCAATCATCAGAATCAGTGCTGTGAAATTGTCATTGACATTATATTGTTTGAGATTATAACTGTGAATATTATTACAATGTAAGTGGACTAAACTTTGATGTATTTTGACCATTTGTGAACTTTGAAAGGGACTGAGACCTCTGAGTTTGTTTCGGCGTTTCTTCTCAGAGTAGTCCGTAGGAAATGCCGACTTAATTAAAATGCGAACAAGTAAAGGTGCACTGTCGAAAGTAAACGTTACTTTATTTACGAAGATTTAATTGTTTTATTACTGCATAAACATACCTCTACCGATATATATGACGAAGAGGGCTCTCGCTTGACATCGCCCATACCATCCTCCGACATATATAAAAAAGAATTTACACAACGTCCTTGAAATTAGTACTTTTTGTATATGGGTGTTAGGTACCGCTTGCCTACTTTTTGATTTTGTTATTTGTGAAATATAAAGAAATATTGAACTAATTGAGATTTGAAGTTAAAACAGTAGTAGCTGGTGTGTAACTGTACAAAGGTAGGGTATCAGAAGCCAGTGGTGATTCCCGTGTCGGGCAAAATAATCAGGGGTTTTCATTAGGTACCTATTTTTAGTTCTCGGTAATAGCATGGTGTCTAGAATTTTGTATATTATAATCTTTTTTATACTGGATAGGATGACGTTAGGCCACCATCTCGCCTGGTGATAAGCGATGAATGGCCGAAACTATGGTAATAGGCTCACCCATATTGTGTGGGACTCATAACATAACTAGAAGAAAGTAGATGTTACAATTTTTAATAAGTAATCCTATGTAGTTATGTGCAGTGCACCTCTGCTTACCCCTTTGGTGATCAAAAAACGTTATACATTATGTACCTATGTACCTACCGTAATTTAGGTACCTACCTACGTAAAATACACCTACACATTCATATAAATCGAACTGTTAGGATGATATCATATTAAAGTAACAAAATATAAATATTTTTCACATTTATTATCACTATAAAACTTAATCTATTAACAATATATACAACCATAATATTATTCTTCTTACAATATGCGAGACAGGTCTTTTATTCTTGATATACATTTTGAAAATAACTTCAGGAACATTTACAATATACCGTAAAATCTATTTCGTTTATGTATAAAGCAAAAACAAACAAACATAAATGTAATTGTATTAGTTTAAAAAAATCATGGATATACGCATATGAAACACTAGACGTAGAGTTGTAGGCAGAATTCGCATCGCGTGTGCCACCCGACAAGGAATACCTCTTCGAGAATTACATGGCGTGATGTTCAATAATGTACTATGAGTTCGTATGCGCTTTCGAAGTTTGCTTTTTGCAATGGTTCATCAGTTATGTTTTGTTTTAAACATTTTATTTCTTTGTAAAACTATTGTGTTCCCAAGACGGAACCATTTTACTTCGGGGCGAAATAGATTTTAAGGTGTATAAATAATTTGTTTGTCTTATAAGTGCACAATTACTTATTGGCATAACGTGGCAATTGCATTGGCATAGTGCACTAATTAAAAAAATATTAATCATAAGCCAATAAATAAATGCATTCTTGATTCGCTTACAATTAAACATAATATTTCATATTCCGAAAAATCCAGATGACATTTGAGCAAAAATTTACAATAAAAACCGTTAGTTAATTTATTAATTATTTCAATAAATAAATTATGTTATTAAATACATTAAATAATTTATTTATTTATATTAAAAATCTCACAATGTTTGCGCTACTTTCGTTATTGTTTTAACAGGTATTAAATAATAATTATAAATATTTATTATATAACATTAGCAAATATATGCATTTACTATATAAACTTGTATAATAATATCAACATTATGGCATTTCGATATGATAGACTTTATTAAGGTCGAGCCAAAAGTTCTGTAGCAAATCTACTATCAATACCTAATACAATATTAAGTAAATTCTACATAAATAGGCAACTGGGTCCTTTATAATATATTTTATACACAAGACCACTTTCCAGTACATTTAAACAGATCTAGTTTTTAAAACTTCAATCAACGAATATTCCTTAAAGAATATATTTTAAAATCCCTCGAAATTTCGAAGCAATGAAGTTCTAACATCTCAACTGTTGTAATATAATGAAAAGTCATCTTATGCAATGATACTCGACTCCTTGAAACAGAAAGTACGTAACTTGAGAGCATAGAGTTCCAATCATTGCGTTGAAGCCAGTTCTCAATCCACTATTGCAAGACATATCCAAACAGGTTACTCAATTTCCATATATAGTTACAAAAGTCGATATTTCATAAATAAAAAGATCTCTTTCTTAGGGACGAGTGTGTGGACCAATGGGGCACAAACCCCCACAAATTGATATAGGTACATACATTCTATGAACCACTTATTTAGCCTAAACATTACAATTATTATTGTTACCATGTTACTCGCAATTACTCCGTCAAGGAAATTCGTTCTACGTTCAAGTGAATTCGTAACAATACGCACACCACGCACCCATGTTACAAGCTGCCAGTGACTGACTCCGTAAAGTTCAATAACAAATAAATAGAGCGCAGCAATAAACCCCACGGTACATCTAAATGATACATCGTAACTCTTTGGTTCTATAAAATTATAATATTGCTTAAACCGAAGCACTGCGACACCAAAGAAACCTCTAAGTGTAAGTCTCAGTACAAAAATACTATGTGATGTCCGTCAGTCTGTTCGTAGCGTTTATTTCTTCTCCTCGGGTCTCTGCTGGGGCTCGCCGCCTAACAACACTTGGATCTCGTCTACACTCTTGCCCTTCGTCTCGGGGATCACGAAGAAGATGAACAAGAAGCCTACCAACATGATACCAGCGAACATCCAGAACACCTGGCCAGCGCCTATCGCAACGTTCAGGGAGTTGAATGTACTCGTCACCGTGAAACTCAGCAGCCAGTTCAGGGTACCCGCGGTCGAGCCCACAAACGCCTTGATGTCAATCTGGCAGAGGTCACCTGCCATCATCCAGGGGATGGGACCGAAACCGAGAGAGAACGCGATGATGAACAGAGACAGAGACACCAGCGGCAGCCACGTGATGGCCTGCACTATGTCTGCCTCGCTGCCGTGCGTCTGTTGGAGGAAGAAGTACACTCCCAGCGCAGTCGAACACACACACATCACCAGCGCAGACAGGAGCAACAAGATACGTCTGCCGAGCTTGTCCACTACCAAACTGGAGATGAAAGTGGCAATCACCTGGATGACTCCTATAATAATTGTGGCAATAGTCGGAGCGATTGTGGCACCGGCGTCCGAGAAGATCTGAGAGGTGTTGAAGATGACGGCGTTGATACCAGACAGTTGCTGGAACACCATCAAAGCGTAGCAGATGAGGAGAGCTTTCAGAGCTGTCTTCTTCTTGAGAGCAGCGATATACGATACTTGGTTCCTTTTGTTTTCTTCCGCCCTCGCCTTTAAGCTGTTGAGCTCATAGTCTACGTCATAAGCGCTGCCACGAAGACGGATCAACGCTTCCCTCGCCTCGTCGTTTTTGCCTTTAACGACTAAGAAGTTGGGACTCTCGGGCATGAAGAAGAATACGACACCGAAGATGATAGGAATGCAAGTACAGAGGATGTTGAAGACGAACACCGAGGCGTAGCCACCGACTACGTATGCGAACAGGATACCGATAGTTATCATCAATTGGAAGTAGCTTCCTAGGGTTCCTCTGATGGAGTCTTGTGCTATTTCACTGGTGTAGGCAGGGGCGGTGACACAGAAGGCTCCTCCAGCGACACCAGTGATGAGCCTGCCAGCGATGAGCATGCCTACACTGGTACCGAAGGTGATTAACAGCCAGCCTAAAGTGAAAGGTAGTACGAGTAGCAACATGGTCTTTTTACGTCCTATAGCGTCCATGATGAGACCGATGGGGAAGCATATGAAGGCAGCTCCAAGGTTAATGACGGAGGATATCCAGTCTCCTTGGCGTTGTGTCACGGAGAAGTCGTAGTCGGTACTGTTGGGGTCTGTCAGCTTGACCATCACGGGGGCTGACCACCCCAGCATAGAACCGGCAGCTAGCGCTCCCAGGGTAGCTGGAACAAACATATTGATTAATTAGCATTGTAGTGTTACAAAGACATACGAAAATTACCTACAATACAGTAGAAAGTTTTTCTGCAAATCGGACACTAGAATCTCATAATAAAAATACAAGACAAGGTAAGTCATTTAGAAAACCCTTGTAATTAATAGCTATCAGTAATTAATTGTAGCCTTGTTGTTCTAAAATAAATTGATTTTAAAATAGTAACATCCATCGCCCACACGTAGGAGTCCTTACAAGATAATAGTACCACTACTACCTAATTAGCATAGCTATAATTGCTAAAACCAACAACTTAATATGAAACTGCGCAGTTCTACACCTACTTAGTAATCCATACAGTTTGTTGATTTTTTCTACTAAGCCATATAATTCGCGTTATTGAAAAATGTACTTTAGAGTGTAGTGTCAAAATTCAGTTTACATTAATACGATTTTAACGATTGTTTCTACAGTACCAGTCAATTAAGAACTCAATAAGCGTGTAGTCAAAAGCTATTTTTGTATAAAAGAAATTATAATGACATGGAACACACTACAACAGGTGTTTTATCACTGTG